GTGGTACATGTATTCTATGCTGGCCACTGTGAATCCATCCATTTGCATAAATTTAATCATTCTAAGGCTCTTCAGAGGAAAGTGACATTTTCATTTATAAATGAGAAAATGGAGGTTTGCAAAGGTGAAATGACTCGCCTAGTAACAAGCAGGCCTGGATTGGACCTTGAACTCTTCAGCTCGATGGCAAGGTTTCTCATTCTTAACACAGCTGACATTTTGGACGGGATAATTTTTTCTGTGGGAGTCTGTCTGGTGCATTACGAGATATTTTAGCTGCATCTGTGTGGTTTCAACCCATTCAACACCAATGACACTCCCCCACCCAACTGCAAATGTTCCAGGCATTGCCAAATATACTCTGGGGGAAAAGTAATCCCCTGTTGAGAATGTCACCCCTTGGTATGCTCCCCCTGAGAGTACCCTTCAGCGACATTGCCTAGGCCAGCGTGGAGAATCTCCCAAGTCTGACAGGGCAGGAGAAAAGTTAGAAACTGTCATACAAAGTCTTGTGTCACCCAGGTAAGGGACTTTGGGATGAAACAAGCTGCAGGTCATTTCCCTCTTCATGATTCTCTAAATTCCTAATTTCTAGAAGCTCTTCTACCCAGGTATATTTCTCATACTTCTTATTGAGCAAGGTCAGAGTAGACTACCAAGTCCCTAGATATTTCTTCACCCTCCCATAAATCAAAAGACATTATTTAATCCAAAAATAATGAAACTCTTGTATGAAATCACACTACAGCTGTAATTTCATGATTCTAAATGCTAAAAATTGTGGGAAATGCTCATGTTATTGGAGTCCTTCTAGATTTGTTTCTTTCTTTTTTTTTTTTTACATTATTGCTCATTAAATAAAAAAGATTTATTTATTTATGCATACAAGAACTGGGGTGTAGGCTAGAGGTGCAGGGATGAGGTGAGAGGGTTCACCAGAGACAGTAGAGTGGGGAGCAGAACAGGCAGATCGACTGAAATACACTGCTGAGGGGAGCAGCAGGTAAGACAGAAGAGGTCTGCCACTACCTCATCACCCATGAACAATCACTATAGTCCTGGGCTCTTCTGTCCCCTGTTTTGATCCCTCTCCCTGCCCTGCTATAGACCTCGCATCTATAGTTAGCCTGCAAGTTTTCCCTTTTTCCTGGCCCTTTATTTGGTTAACCTATAACCCATCTATATAAGGGAAACCATCTGATAAATTTTCTTTTTTCCTTCTGAGTTTACTTCACTTAGCATAATCTAAATTAAGGTACACTAAACACTGTAAAACTATTGTTCCTTTGAAAACCTCAGTCATATATCCCCCTCTGAGGAAGCATAGCCAGTTTGGAAAGGAATTCCGCCCCATCTCAGGGCCGAGTCCTGTGGCTTCACTCACAGCAGACAAAGAGAACAGGAAACCCATACTTTTCCACTGTTCCTACTTACCCTTTTTGTTTTCCAAAGTATGTGAGCCATGTGCTAGGTCATGTTTTGGTGGATTATGAAATTGAGTATTAGAAAAGTCCAAATTCAGTCCTATCTGGGGAGTAGGGTGGGGGAGGGTTGGATCAGGGAGCTTGTTATTAGCAAAAGTTCTATTAAGAAACTCTCGAGCAGATCCATCAAGGTCAAACTCTTCATCTCGTAGATCAAGGTCAAACTCTTCATCTCGTAGATCAAGGTCAAACTTTTCATCTCATAGATCAAGGGCCCCCAAAGGATTTATGTAGTTAACCAATAGTTAAGAATTTACAATGCCTCCAGCACTTTATCAAAAGAGGGCCTGATCAGGACTCACTTGCAGTTGGAGAGGGATGAGCAATGTCAGGAAGCCTGCTGGTGTCAGTGAGAACATTCTGGTGCTTGAGAGGCAGATGGGTGGGGCCGTGAATCAAGAAAGACTTCCTGCAGGAGGTGAAGTCTGAACTCAGGCCAGCAAGAGTCAGATTTAGCTGGGTAAAAGTGAAGGCAATTATGGAAGGGCAGAGGCTACTAAGCATGCACTGAGCCACTGGAGAGACCCCCATGGGAGGAAGAGGAGAGACTTGGCCACGGACACGCAGGAACGGCAGCTTCTTAGCACAGTCGGAGCAGAGCTGCAGGAGTGAGGTGGGGGGAGGTGAGGCTGTAAGAAGTCATGGGTGGGGGGTTGTGCAGGCTTGTTTTAAGACTTTTTGCAGACCTCATGAATTTTGGAGGCCCCATTACACATCACAGCAAACATTAAACATATTAAGACACATATTAAAATGTACTAGTCATCTCCACAAGAGAGAAATAAATGATTAAAAAAATTCTTTATTTGTGGATCTCCTTGTTTTATCAGCTTACTCTGTAGAAGCAAATGTATCTGAAGGAAATTAAACTTTACCAAGGGAAGCTCCGCAGTGTGGTTCAGTACGGGGTGATGGATTGGAGTCCTCCTTAGGGCACTTTTCAGCTGTGTGACTTTGGACAAGTTATTTAACCTCTGTAACTGTTTTCTTTTAAGAATTATTTATTTATGCTACAGAACTAGGGTATGTGCCAGGTCAGAGGTGGAGGGGTGGTGAGAGGATTCACCAGAGACACAGTGGGGAGCAGAACAGGCAGGTCGATGAAGTACACTGCTGAGGGGAGCAGCTGCACCATGTGGGTCACCTCCGGGGTCGAGGATTGAACTTGCACTAAAGTGGCTGCAGCTAGCTTGCAGTGCTGCATCCTAACCCATTTGCCACCAAGGAGGGCCCTATAACTGTTTCCTTATCCTCTATGTGGATCACGGGACAAGCTCACCTTTCTCAAGCATCTTCCTAGTCTCATGTCTTCTTTCTAGACCATGTTCACTGATAGGTCCTCAGAATTCCCTGCTAAGCATGAGGTGAAGATTCCAGAAGGCATGTGCTTGGCAAAAGTGTGCAAGAAGACACCGGAGTCACTCCCACAAAGCAGCAGACTTCAAATCCCCCCTTCCAGGTAGTAGAAGAGGAACATTTCATTTTGATGACAGGTTTTAACTATATATGATTAAAGGCACCTCCTGTAGGCTTGTTGTTCCTGACATACTTCAAGCTTCAATAAAGACAATTGTCTCCGGGCAAAAGATAATGGCAAATTTCCCTTAACACCCATAAACATGGTATCTAAACCTTCAGTCCAAAGGAATAAACCTCTGGCTCTTTTTTTTTTTTAAGGGTTATTTACTTATTTATGCGTACAAGAACAGGGGTACAGGCTGAGGTGCAGGGGGGTGAGAGGATTCACCAGAGTCAGAGTGGGGAGCAGTGTGGGCAGATTGACAAAGTACAGTGTTGAGGGGAGCAGCAGGTGAGACAGGAGAGGTCTGCTGCACCGTGAGGGTCACCTCCCTGGCTGGGGATCAAACTCCTGTTTCAGTGGTTGTGGAGAGCTTCAGAGTGCTGCACTTCAAATCAGTGCTGTGCTTTAACCCGCTGCACCACCAGGGAGGGTCCTGCACTTCAAATCACTGTGCTACCAGGGAGGTTCTTTTAACCCCCAAGTCAACTAAGTCCATCTAAACACTGCTTACATTATCTAAATCTGTCAAGTTGTGCTCAGCCTACCTCCGATACAGTTCTTAACAATCATTCAGCTGATATCATTTAGTTTTTTTTGAAAGAGGAACACAGGGCACCAGGCTTTATCCTCAGAAACAGACTGGAAAGGATGGGTGTCATGTGACCCAGGAACACACTGCAAGTTAGAGCCATGAGTATTGCAAGTGTGAGAGCTGGAGAAGAGAAACGTTAAATTTGCATATTTGGATTCACAGACAGCTTGACCAGAAAGAGCTTTGGAAGCCAGTGAGTGCAAACTTACTTGGCAAGAGGAACACAACCCATCCAGCGGTGGCTATCCAGGTTGGAACCCACCTACCATTTCTCTATTGTGTCGTGTTGCCACACTCCATATTGAGTTGAAATTTCAAAAATATGTGCTTATCCCAGTGAAAGATGATTTATTGAGAGGGGGTTGACTTTTTTTTTTTAAGATTTATTTATTTATTCACATAGAACTGGGGTACAGGCCAGACATGCGGAGGGTGAGAGGATTCACCAGAGACAGAGTGGGGAGCAGAACAGGCAGATCGACGAAGTACACTGCTGAGGGGGAGCAGCGGGCAGGTCAGGAGAGGTCTGCCACGCCATGTGGTCTCCTCGGGGGCAGGCGGGAAGGCGGGAATCGAACTCATGCGGAAGTGGCTTAAGCTTCTCAGTGCTGTGCTTTAACCCGCTGCGCCACCAGGGAGGGCCAAGAGAGGGGGTTGACTTTTGTGGAAAATTTCTCCTGTGGGAAAGGTAAGTATGTTTTTGTACCAATGAAGAGTCTGACATTGCACTGCAAATCTCCATGTGGGACCAGAAGATTAGAAATACTGGAGTCTTCTTTATCATGTATACTGTGATTATGTAGGCTCCTGGCTTTTCCCCTGACACCCACTTTTAAATTTCTGACCACTCCATTTTTACCCCAACATCATTTCATCACTGAAATGTAATTTAAACTAAAAAAGAGTTTGTTGCTGAGAAAGAAAAATCAAAATTATGAATTAAACTGAGCAAAGGGATGTTCATGGATAATTAGCCATGTCCTAACTTACCAAAGAAAAAAGTGAATTTCAATTAGAATATAAGATAATTCTCCTGAAAATGTGGGGTAGAAAGGATCATTCTCGGATGTGGTTAGAATATAAATGCCCCAGAAAAATCTTGGAAGCATCAGATCAGGATGAAATACACTGAGGGTATATTCAACTTTATTCTAACATTGCTAGGAGGAAAAAAGGAAGGAAAGACAAATGAAGCAGGATGAAAAGTAAGGTGATTGAGAGAGGAAAGACACAGAAACTTGTTAATCACAGGACTCTCTGAGCAAGATATTTTTCTTCCTTTACAAGTTAGAAACTATTGAATAATTCATACCCAGAGTGGAAAGGCTGCCTTTTCCCTGGGTGATGTATAACAGCAGCAGAGCGCGGGAGTGGGTTCACCACATCAGCCACCACTCTTGCTTCTGAGCACAAGGGTGCTCTCTCCTCTTGCGCTCAGCTTCTGCTTTTGCAGCCAAGCATCCTCGCCGCTGCCCGCCAGCCTACCCACCGTCTGGGCTTGCAGCCGCCCCTTGACTTTCCCAGCGCTGTCCTGCCAGCTGAGACCGTCCCTGCCGCTGCTGGATTCTATCTAGGACCATGTGTGTGGATACTGCTTGGGAAAACCGAGCGCTTGCTCCTGGCACCGATTCCAGCTGAGTTTCTCCTGTTGATTTCGGGGCCACAGATGCTGCGGAGGAGGTGGTATTTCCTGGCATCCCTTGCTCCGCTCCAGCCAGCACCGGACCAGCCCCGAAGTAAGTTCCCTCCAAACCTTTCCCCCTGGCCTTTCCCCCACCCGGGATAGCTTTCTCCTGGAAACGAGGGGCTCCCTTTGGCCCTATTCCCGTGTGCTCGCCTGTGTGTGTGTTTTGGGGAGGGGGGAGGAGAAGAGGCGATGGCACTTGGAATTGCCGTGGCCAGGTGCTTGCTGAATGCACAGAGGCCTTTCCCCTGGCGCTGGAGACATTTCCGAGGCAGGCACCTGTCATCAGCCACCCCCATTCTCCTCCAGCTCCCTGTCCCCCTCCCCCCAGCCCATTCTTCAGCTTCAGCCTTTTGTGTCAGTGGCATCGGGCTGAAGGGCTGTCTTTGCCCTCCCAGCAGGCGGGTGTCAGGATGGGCCACGCTGCGAGAAACCGCCACTAGTGAGCGAGGTGTGAAGAGTTGGCCAGAATGACCAACTCCTCGTCCACGTCCACCTCCTCTACCACGGGGGGATCGCTGCTGTTGCTCTGCGAGGAAGAAGAGTCGTGGGCTGGCCGGCGCATCCCGGTGTCCCTGCTGTACTCGGGGCTGGCCATCGGTGGCACGCTGGCCAACGGCATGGTCATCTACCTGGTGTCGTCCTTCAGAAAGCTGCAGACCACCAGCAACGCCTTCATTGTGAACGGCTGCGCCGCTGACCTCAGCGTCTGCGCCCTCTGGATGCCTCAGGAAGCGGTGCTCGGCCTCCTGCCCGCGGGCTCCGCGGAGCCCCCCGGGGACTGGGACGGCGCGGGGGGCAGCTACCGCCTGCTGCGGGGCGGGCTGCTGGGCCTTGGGCTCACCGTGTCCCTGCTGTCCCATTGCCTGGTGGCCCTGAACCGCTACCTGCTCATCACTCGGGCGCCCGCCACCTACCAGGCGCTGTACCAGCGGCGCCACACTGCGGGCATGCTGGCGCTGTCCTGGGCGCTCGCCCTGGGCCTCGTGC